TGGTGGTTTTGTTGCTTTGTCCCCGTAGCGACCCTGCTGTGGGAGAATGGGGAATAAATCTGGTTTTAAGCCCAACCGGATTGCCCCCCCCCCCAAAAAAAAAAGCATCCCCGGTGGAGCGCGGAGCGGGGTTTCGGTGTGGAGGCTGCCGGGGCGTGGGTGATGCACAGGCCGCCGAAACGGAGCTGGGCGAAGGGAGGCTGGAGTTGGGGGGCTTTGGCAGTGAGGGTGGTGATGGTGATGCTGATGGCCTTTTTCAGGCTTTTGGTAGGCACCGGCATCCCTGGAGAGAGGGGACTTCTTCTTCCCCAGGGTGCCTGTGGGCATCTGTCACTCCAGCATGGGGGTGACGAAGGCGAAGAGCAGGTAGTTTTTGAATTATGTGTCACTGCAAGGTTCTGAATTTACAGGAAGCGGTAGTCGGTCGTGCTTAAAAAGTACTTCTGTGGGCTGCTTTTCTTTTCCTTTAGCATTAGGCAGACGCTGCTGTATGGTATAGCCCTGTGATTTAGCGCTGCCACAAGGAAATGGGTGCAGAGCACCGGGTAAATAAAAACATGGCAGTTAGGTCCCGGCTGAGCATATTGCAGAGCTGTAGGGAGCGGAGAGCCTGGGGCTAGGGATGCGGGAACACAAATTGGGAAAATAATTGCAAATATCACCAAGCCCTGTCACGGAGCTGGGCTGACATCAGGAAGCAGAGGCTTCCCCTCTGCCACCTCCTCCGGCGGTCCTGCGTGACCCACCTCGGCGCGTGGCTGAGCGCCTGCCGAAGGCATCCTTGCAATATTTTGTGGAAGCCTCAGCGACAGCGTCAGCAGGGCTGATTTGTAGTGGTCTCCCTTTGGGCTTCCAGGTGGCCCTGGGGAGACCTCGGCTCCTGTGTGTGGGGAACACACCCTGCCCCACTCAAGACACGCTCACCCATGCCCACTACTGTGTTGGATAAAACCCGAGACAGCACCCCATGTTTTCCACATCTTCTTCCATGGTTTAGGTCTTTTGCTTTTCCGCCCAGCGGTTCTCGTGAGGAGCTGAAGGCTGCACGCAGCCTGCAGCTTTCTGCACCCTCTGGCCCACGTATATGGCTCTCCCTTTTCTCCAGGCCCCTTATTTTCCTTTTCCCGGAGGATTTCTAAGTGCTGCTGCTGGCGTCAGGCGTGTGTGCCTGGGTAAGGCCGCCTCTGTCTCGCCGTGCCTGTTATATTTAGAAACCCAAGATAAGCACAAGGGTGCACGCTGGCCGAGGGGCGGCAGAAAGGCTGTGTGGGGAAGCCACGGTGGGAGCACGCAGACACGGGGGAAACTCTGTGGTGTTCCCGGGGGTTATTTATTGCAGGCTGGTTTGGCACCATGAGGCTGCTATTGTCTGACGGCACGGGAAATTGTTTGGCCAGGGAGCTGTAAGGCATTCTTATGGATCAGTCTGGTTTTGCCTGAAAAGGAAAATAAAAAAAAATAAAATCCAATTTAAAAAAAAAGAAAAAAAAAAAGAGGCAGGCTACTGGTTTTGGAGGACGTAAGACATCTTTTCCTGTTTATATCCTTTTGGAACGGATATTGAGCCCCCTCACTTTCGGCTGTCCTATAGGGAGTGTTTCTGGAGCGGTCAGAGGCTCTGCCCCATTGCTCTGCTGCCCCACAGCTGCCAGGAGCCAGTGGGCTCCACTCCCTGCTTCCCCATGGGGCAAAGGGGTTTTTTTGCTCCATCTCACCCTGCTGCTCGCGAGGTTTGTGCTCCATCTCGGCGTGCCATTTGTGGGAATACGTGCCTGCATGGCTTCATTTCAGGTCCCTCCCTCTCCTCTCTGCTTCCGGAAAAGCAGCGTTTTCTGCTGGTACGTGCTTCCAACCAGGGTTCTGTTGACCGAGGCGTTGCCCCCGCTCATCACCACTCTGCCCCACAGGGCTCCTGCCACAGTGGCTGCTCCTCTGCCTCGCTGGTCCGTGGCGGCGATGGGCATTTAACGGCACAGGTGGTGGGTCACCTTGAGGATGCTGCTGGGGGTCACTTGGAGGGGGGTGCAAAGGGTTAAAAGTGCCGAAGAGGTTAATTTGGGAGTGGATTTGTTACCAGATCTCCACTGCACCCAGGCTGAACATCCTTCTTCCCTTGTGACCCCCTTTGCTTCTTTTTTTGGGGTTCCTGTCCCTGCATGGCACTAATACTCAGCGCTGCCTTTCTATGGTGGGAACCTGCCGAGGAGCACAGATGGGGCTGGTGGGTTCAGGCCCTCAGGATACTCTGGGTCTAAGAACTAGTGCTTCTCTACTGGTTTTGCTGGATTTTATACACCCCCTTAAGTTTGAGAGTCATTTTTTTTCAAGTCTGCAGTTTCTGAAACGTTTTTCCAGAGGAGTTGTGGCAAGCAGGAGGAATAGGCAGGGTGGATGTGTAGTGCCAAAGGGGTGGGTTGTTCATCGCATGCTGGCAGCCCTGTGGCCCTGCAGCCCCTGCAAGGGGGCATTTTTGGGTGAAACCGTGTGTACGTGACCCTACTGTGCAGAAGCAAGCCGGCAATGTGCGATGCCCTGTACCATATAAATATGCACGTGGTTTTACTCCAAGCAGGATCAATTATCCAAATGTTTTTGAAAATGTCTGTTCCCTGAATGTTTGTGATCCTCCGGGGCAGCAGCAGGAGTTCAGCATCCTTGTTGTGACAGAGGACTTTGCACAACCCGAACCAAGGCCCTGATTTCTCTAAAAGGCTGACTCCCATCCTCAGGGATACGGGCATCACGGAGCATCCCTGGCATCTGTGTGACTGGCCTGCGTGCAGGAGAGCTTTTGTAAAACTGCCTTTGAGTATCTTTTGTTTCCAACAGGTTGGTACCTGTAGTAGCTGGCCCCAGCAAAGGGAGCCTCTAGGTGTTGCCTGGTTTCTGTCTGTCAGGGGAACAATACCTTTTTGTCATATTTCCTGACGAGAGAAGAGAAAAAATCTTGCAATCCAAGAGTCACGTTTAAATGTCATTTAACCTTGAAAAGAACGTGATGGAATGGGGTGTAAAACGTAGCAACTGGCATCAGAAAAAGCCCTGTAGTGGTGACCTGCCAATATAAAGGCTTTTTAGGAACCAATCTGATAAATCATAAGTAAACACAAACAGTTTCAGGATGGCTAAACTACTTGTTTTAACATGCCTTGGCTCCTGATGAATCTTCCTGATGCTGAAAGGAGTACGGAGTATGATTAGCTCTGCAGAGAAATGTTTACATGGTGAAGGTTTTTTGTGCAAAGGCCATGTCAGTAAAATAGGTGCTAATGATTTCTGAAATTGTTGTGGGAGTGCTCTGTTCTTGGATACCACTGATTGTTGTCAGTGTCCGGGGAATGAGGCATGCATTTAAGGAATGGCCCTTAGTGCTGCCTGTTTCATTATGCACTTACAATTATTCACAACTTCCTGTGGAGGCTGCTGTGATGGCTGGATTTTCAGAAACTTCTTTTCCCCAAGTACAAAGAGTGTCCTTCCTATGTGACCAAGAAAAATTCCGTGCATATGGTTCAGATTATGAAATCCTATTTTTAAAAAATTGCTCACAGATTCTGTCTGGCTGGTTGTTTTTTTTTTTTTTTAAGAAAAAGAAAAAAAAAAGTGATTGAGCTCTTGGAGGGCTCCCATAGTGGCACTCTGGGAAGATGCCCTTCCTGGGGGGGGTGGCTCTGAGATGGCAGCTAAATAAAGGAGCATTTTCTGCTCCTTGCCCACACAACTGCCTGCCTGAAATTGCTTCTGCTCTCCACCATCCCCTGGAAGGGCTGGCACCTGTCTCCCATGGGGCCGCAGCCATGGGAGCCTCAGTGGGGCTGCGGGTCCAGCTGGGTGCTGCCGGCAGCTCCCATCTGTCCCTGCCAGCCCCTCCACTGCTTCCCTTCGGACAAGGCTGAGATTTGCTTTCTGATCGGCTTTTATTGCAGGCAGAGCAGGGAGTTATTAGACCTCCATCCCGTAATCCAGCCTCCAGTTTCCCCCCCACTGGTTATTTATGGCTATTTGCTGAGGCTTTTCCCTCGGAGGGCTGCCTGTGCTGCCAGTGCAGGAGAGCAGCACTTTTTCCCTTGCAGCTGCACTGCCAGAATAACTAACCCTTTTCCTGCCTGGGAGGAAAAAAAAAACCAAACCTGATTTCCCCCCCCCCCCAGTTTTGGAAACTGTAACACACAGGAGTGGTTTTGTTTCAAACCGAGGTTTAGTCCCCATCTCCCCCTCCTCCCCGCCCCGTGAGTCTCAGCGGTGAAGATGGCCTCGATGCCACGCACCGCGATGCAACGCGAGGCGATGCTCCCTGTGCGCAGGAGGGTCCAGCTCAATTATGTAAGGGCGCTGACGGCGCTCATTGGTTTTTCACAGGAGGAAAAAAAAGCCCTCCCTCCCATTTTTCCCTCACTGCTGAGGGCAGCATAGGGGCAGAGGTGGGGAGAATGGGCTTGGCTGGTCCTGAGCGTGCAAACGCCGAAACCTGCGTTCACAACAGGGCTTTTGGTGGGGGAGAAACCTTCAGCCCTGTTTTTGGGAGGAGGATGCAGCAGTGGGGCTTTGTAGAAGGGTATTTTAGTTGCAAAGTGAAGTCTGTGTGAATGATGCGTTAGTGTAGCTTTCGCTGGCAGATTTGGGGATCAGGCCTTTGAGTGGCAGCGTGGGCTCCTGAAAGCTCAGCCTTAATAAGAGGTTCACCCCCCCACCTTTAAAAGGGAATAACCTCATGATCTGAAATCGTGGCTTGACACTCTGCTAAAAAATCCATGGGTTTGCCATGGAGGAGAGACCTGCCTGCTCAGCCCGACACCAGCCTCTGCATCCATCCCCACAGCATTTGGGGCTGCAGAGAAGGTGCACCTCATCCAGATTTTTGTTCTTGGAGTGAAATGACACCAGTGGCCAGCTGTGCTTGTTGCTGTGAGGGGCCTGTCAGCCCATCAGAGCCGCACAGGACACAGCTGGAATGTGGGGACGCTGCCCTAGGGTCTTGCGTTTGGCTTCTGTTGCAGAGAACCTGGACTTAGCTCTTCTTCGTCTGTTTAGCTGTACGCCTGCACCATCACCGGTTTGTGGAGCAAATGTGTGGTATCATCTCGTATTGTTGCACTGTAACTTCCCCTTAACATCTGTTTGATGACTGTTTTGCTCTTCCTCTGCAAGCAATGGCACTGAACACCTCACAGCTTGTGCAGCCTCCAGCTGTGCCCCCCGTGCTTCCAGCTTGCTCGGTCCCCAGCCCTGTGGTTCAGGATCAGGCCCGGTAGCTGTGCCCAGCAGCGCTGTCCATGCCTTCCTCCCTGGTCTGTGTAAATGCTTGGTCACGGTGGGAGGGCATCTGGCTCAGGCAGATACGCCGTCTTTGGTGCAGACCTTGACTACGTGCAACAGAAGTACTTTCTGCAGGAGCAATTAGATTGGCACTGGTTTTATGGTCAGTTAGGGTTTAATTACATTTTGATTGTCTGCATTTCCTTTTCGAATGGCATTATTCATCGCTTCCTGTCTCAAAGTCCCCGGTACATGGAACACTCACACACATACATTTCACGTGGGGTGTTTTATTGTGGCATTGGTCCTGTAAGACGTAATGTCAGCTGAGACGTGAGATGAGTTGCTCTCAAGGCTTCCAGAGCAGTGAAGGAGACAGACAGCCTTGGCACGGAGATGGCCTGGGGTTTAAAATGAGGTGGCTTTTCCAGTTTTGCTAAGGACAGAAAACATGGGCAGGGTTTTATTTTCCTGATCCTGCTAAGCTGCAAGCAAAAGTGATCCCGAAGGCGTGGCTTTGGTCTGAGCTGTTTTCAGAACCGAATTTCCAAGGCCGATAATGAAACAAGGCAAGAATAGACTGGTAGCTGAGGTAAAAGGGGTGGGACACGTACGTTTAGCAAGAAACCCTCAAGGCCAATTTGTATTTTTGAGGTGTCAAAGCATCTCTCACTATTCCTGATGCTGAAGATGGATGTAATATTATGGAAAGCAATATTATTGGAAAACTGGAACCGCCTCCTTTGTGCAGGGAGGTAAAGAAAGTTCCTGTCTTGCGAAGCCACAAGGGAGAAGTCAACAACTTTTAATTTGATGTTTTGTCTTGAGGAGGAGGACGCTACCTGCCCACAGCCAAGTTCTGCCTCTCCTGACCCTCTGGCTGTGATACCTTTGGAGTGGGATAGGGAAAATGGTCTGCTACACAGAAATAGTTTCTTAGCCTAGGACGTAGCCCCAAAACCGCTGTGGCAAGTCCTTCACAATGAAAGGCTTTAAATACAAGGCACCTCTGTGGACTGCAGCAACACCTACATCACCCCAGCTGGGACAAGGTGCCAAAAGAGGGATTTTTAGCTTCAGCTGTTCAGCTCATGGACAGTCAGGAGAGCTGAGAAGCAGGGCGAGGGCTGGAGATAGTGGGGCGAAGCTGTGGGCAAATGGTTTTGTGGGGAAAAGAGGAGGCAGAGTGATATGGGACCGGGTCTTGCCTTGGGGAGGCAGTAGGATGGGGTGGGCTTCAGCTCATGTAGGTCCTACCACTTGCACGTTTTCCTTGATTGTGAGTCAAAAGACAAGGTACGAAGCGCGTGGCTGTGTTGTCAGCTTGGCCAGAGCCCTGGGCCCAAGCTGGGGCTATACGCTGTTCTTGCAATTAAAGGGAGGTGTAGCCCCACTTGGGCACCTCGGGGCAGTCTTTCACTCCGTGGTGGTGTTTGTCTTTTTCCCCAGATTGATAAATACCTTTACGCCATGCGGCTCTCTGACGAAACGCTGATAGACATTATGGCTCGCTTCAGGAGAGAGATGAAGAACGGTCTCTCCAGAGATTTTAACCCAACGGCTGCAGTGAAGATGCTTCCTACATTTGTGAGGTCCATTCCTGATGGTTCAGGTAAGGAGCTGAGTATTTGTTTTCCATATTAAACATGGTGTGCTTTGTGGGAAACCTGTTAGAAATACACCAATGCATTACCAAGAACAAGAGCAATTTGCTTTCTGGCAAGCCCGGACAACATTTCGAAGACAGCCTCCCTTCTGTGTGCGGGTCTGTTGCCACAGATGCTGGAGGATTTTGTGATTCCTGTGTCAAACCCCTTTTGATGCCAATGAAAGAGCCCTTTGTAGCAGTCAGTCCACTAATAGTCAATACGTTTATGCTGAGATTTGTCTGCCAGCAATCAATACTTCACATACAAAGATTTTTGATTTATGCAACTCACACTCACGTGATCTAGAGTCTTAACAAATACAGTGGCTTTTAGTCATTTGCTGTTCAACTCAGCATCTCTTCCCTTCCTTATGTTTTCCCCAGTGGAAGTATGAACACCTATATGGCGAATTTGAGTTTCCTGGCGTTCGTTTTGCTTTTTGTAGCTGCTTCTTGCAGACTGTCTTAGGGCAAACTTGCAGAACTCAAGGAAGCTGCAATGGGTGGCTCCAAAGCTGCTGCAGTGGTGTACGGAGCTTTTTCCATCCAGGTGTAGGACTCTGTTTTTCCATGCTCACTGTACCTGATAAAAGCGGCACAAAGAGCTGTCAGAAACCAAAAAGATGTTGTGTTGGTATTTGAGACCAAGATTGCCCCTATTTACTTATTTTAGTGTTTATAAAAAAATAAATACTATATAGAGAGTATATAAATATATTTATAAACAGTATATAATAGTGTTTATTATTCAGTGGTAACACTGGATTTCCTTCTCATGTAGCATGAGTTGATTAACTGTAGTTTGGTGCCTACCACAAATTATGTCCCTCTGTGCAGAAATTGCACAGTTGTAAGAACTGCATAACACCGTTACCTGTTTTGAGGGGGTTTTTTTGAGTTAAAATCAAGAATTTATTGGGTGAAAGAACATGAAGCCTGGTGCCTTGTGTTACTTGGTGCTGTCTGGCAGGTGGAGATCTTTGATAGTTCTGCTTTGCTGTTACTTTCTGCCACCTTAAGCTTTTCAGTTGCAATGTGATTCTCTGTCTAAAAAAAACCAAAGGGAGAACAAATTTGAATCCTGTGTTTCCCTTAATTTAGCACTGCTGGCTGTTATGTTGAAATGTCCTGTTGAAATGTCTGAGCTTGTTGAGAAAGTCAGAAGCTGCAACACACAGCTGGGTCATGGGCAGGGGTTGCTCTAAGGGTTTGCGGGTGAGGTGACTTAAGGGCTTTTGTGTGGAATCCCAGCATTTTTACCAACTCTGAAATCCCTGTTTTTTTCCTTCATTCGTGTTTGAGTTCAGTTGGGTACAGACCTGTTCCCGCTACCCTGCTCCATCAGGCGCTGCAGGTTAGCAAATCTGAGCTGCTTGCAGTGAGTCAAATGGTTTTGCAAATTGTTCCATGGCACAAACTGGGGAGACTTTGAGATGCTGTATGGCACAGGGAAAAGGGGATCTGCACCCGGTCAGAAGAGGTGCGAGAGATTGCTGAACGCTGCTGGGACCCAGCATGAGCCAGAGCAGTGGGTAGCCCTGGTTGAGCGTAAGTGTGCCTGTATGTCAAGGCATTAATTTCAGATCATGTATTACACACCTACTTAAAAAAGCAACCATGTATGTTGTGTACAGTGTGCTCAGTTCTTGATCCTGTGCCCGTTTGGCTCCTGCTGGCCTCTCTGGGACGGGCACGCTGTGGGCAGCGTCTTCGCAGCATGGATTAGAGCAAGGCAGCGCTTTGCCCCAGACAATTTCTGTATAACACGGTACTAATCTGTATATGCAGGTTGTGAGCATCTCCTCGGATAGCTGTTAGAAATGCAGGCAAAACCATTCCATTATTTCCCAGAAAGGGCATGTTCCGACCCCAGGTATGAGCAATATTTGCTGTGGGTGGGTGTCATGGCACGTCTTTCCCTGACTCATGTGCGTGTGCGCGCCGTGTCCGGCGCAGCCGTCACAGGGATGCAGCCAGGGCAGACGCAGAGCCCCCTTCCCTCTGCCTCCAAAAGGCTCGGGGGGGCCCTCACGGATGCGTCCGTGTTGATGTGCCCAAAGTGTGGGTTCAGCTCCCAGCCGATGGCAATTTCTGCCTTCAGCTGTCCCTCTGTAAAAGCCAGAGGCTGAAAGCCTGCCCTTTTCTCTGGCTCGTCTCTAATTACTGCCTTGTAAGCTCTTTCCTCTGAGTCTGATTATTATTATGAGAGCTGACTATTCAGAAAAATACTGTTGTTTATTTTCAGATCTGTGCTTGTGTACTTTGTTAACGAGGATCTTTTGAGTAATAATTTTGGAGGCTCTGGACACATTGGTGTTAGCAGGGGTTTTTGCTTCATTCAGAGTTGCTTAATTTATGAAGACCACAAGGTTTTTTTGTCCAGAGTGCCCAGAACGGTATCTCCAGCTAATTCAAAATGCTTTCAAAGGATCTTCCTAAATTAATTTACAGCAGGTTTGATTGCATCTTGGTGTTACAAAGCATAGATTAAATGCTGCTACTTGGGTTTAATTCCTGAAGTACACTGAAAGAAAACTACTACTTTGCATACAGAAAGCTTTACAGTCTGGTTCAGAGTTCTTTTTTCTTTTTAACTGAAAAGGATAATTCTTAATAAATTTTACCTTGTGATGAGCCTGATGCTGCTGGAAATTAAACACGCTAATCTGTTAATTTACTGCCGGGGAAGATATTTCTGAAGTGCAGCATTTGTCTGAGGTGTGTACCAAGGTGCTTTTAGGCTTGGAAAAGGGCCATCTGGTCCAGTGTTGATTTTTCCATTATTTATTGCAGGTAATGGCTTGCATTCGACAAATGATACTCATATGATAAAGCTTATTTGGGTATTTGGCTTAATGAGACACTTGTGGTAAATGTTTTGCTTCCAGTCTTGTTGCAGTGAAGGGGGTTAGGAGTTACTGAATTTGTTACGCTGAACTCGATAAAGGGAACTGCATCCACAGTTTGGAAATGTTTACGTTTTAAATGACATTCGTACTGAAGCAAAGCGATGTTTAAAGCCACGCTGTTCAGAAACAGATAGGGAAGTGCTGCAAGGTCCATATTTTGGCAAACTCTGAGTTTGCCCATGTCTTAAGCAGCAAGAAGGAAAAGTTGCATTGCAATGCAGTAAAATTAGGAAGACTGGTAGGAGATGTGGGCTCCCACTGTTGTTCTGCTACGTTTTTCTGTACGGGGCTTATTGTCCTTTGTGGTTTCTCGCATGACAGTGTTTTGTTTGCTGTATGACACTTGCAACCTTGGAAAACCGTAAGGGCTTTTGCAGTGTCTTTGCCTCTGTTAGGCTGTTCCTGCTGGAGGTCCTGTCCCGAGGGATGCCTCAACCAGCTCATCAGCTTTGCTGAGCAGGAGGGGACTTCTGGAGGAGCATGGGGCAATGAGGAGGAGCAGCTCACTAAGCCAGACTTTAAGAGTTTTGATCTGAGATTGGGCAGGGTAATCTCAGAGGCAAGTCTGGGTCTGGATATGCTCGTGGATAAGTTGCATATTTGATATTTTGGTGACAGCGTGGAGTCAGAAGGCTCTGAGAGCTGAGTCGAAGTTTGAGGTGACACATCAAAAGGCCTCCCCAAAGTCATAGTTGGAAGGAAGAATGAAAAGAGGCCCAAGAGCGCTTGTAGGATGGGACTGGCAATATGCATGGGGGGGCCAGCTCATCCCCCCTGTGGCATGGGGCACTTCTGACACCACAGAAAGGTACAAATCAATGAGGGAAACCAGGACGAGAAAGCACCGTGCGCATCTGCTTCACTGCCTTCCGAGCAGCCTCGGTGAGCCCGGGGATGCCGTGCGCAGACACGAATGCTTGCGAAGAGCCTCGGTGATAAGTTGTGCACACTGCTTCCCTAAATGTTATCTTTTTGCAGACTTTAACAATCGCTGTCTTTGTTTGCTTCCTCTTTGATAAGGTGAGATAGCACAAGCGGTTCAGTCAAATATATTTGCCTTGCTCTCCAGGGGGTGCCGAAAGTGTCCTCAGATAGCCAGACCACACGTCTCTGTTGCCTGAATTACACCCTGAAGTCTGTGGAGGTGGGAGTGGGGAGTGGATTTGGCTTCAGGTCTTTGAAATCCAAATCCCTCTCCACACGGAGGGAGATGGAGGTATCCTAACTCTTTCCCTGGCGAGTTATTTAGGAGCTCTGTGCAAGGTTCACAACTTCTGAGTAACTCCTGCAGCCGCCCTGTGATGTTTCAGACTGTCGTTTCTCTGACTTCTGTTATCTGACCGTAGCTTGCAGTGAATCTCAGCTTCTGCGGGTGACATAAGTGGTTCCTGCTTTAACTACCTCTGTGTGTAATTTGTTGATTTTAGAGTAGTGCGCAATTCAGCCACCATTCACTGTTATTTGCCAAAATGCCACAAGTTTATATGCAGCAAAAGACTGTTCATCAGTGGTCTGGTATCCTTTCATTTTACTGTTTTCAACACCTTTTTGGCATTCTTCGGAGATCTTTGCTCTGCCAGCTTCATCACGAGATCTGGATACAGACTGTCCACTGTTAGTCCATTCTTTTTGGATAAACCCTCATTGCAGTTGTCTGTGTATCAATGGTGGTTGGTGTTGCCATTGCACCAACTTCATGTTAAATTGTAGGGAATCAGATCGATGCTTCACATGGACACCCTGCAGCTAGAAATTCCTTGCTGTAGGCACTGGACATTTGCCTATGCATTATACTTAACAGAGCTTGATATTTCCCAGATTTGTGTTGCATACAATTTTTAATCACTTGTGTCTTGTTTTCCACATAGAGAAAGGAGATTTCATTGCACTGGATCTTGGTGGTTCTTATTTCCGAATTCTGCGGGTGAAGGTATCGCATGAAAAAAAGCAGACGGTACAAATGGAAAGTGAAATTTATAATACGCCTGAAGATATCATGCATGGCAGCGGAACACGGGTAAGCACCTCTTTTTTTAGGACGTCTCTCTAAAGATTAGCTGCTTTCACACTGCCATTTTACAAAAACGCCACGAGAATGACCTTAGCATCTTAACAGTTGCACCTACAGCGTGCACAGACTTGACTACAGCTCTTTGTCGATACTGAAAATAAATTAAGTGGTAGTTAGAGTAGTAGAGCATGCATGGATGCTGCTCCCATTGTGTGGGAGACTTTTGGCCGAGTTAGGGGAAAAAATGGCCTAGAAATAAGAATTTTTACTTTTATAGTAAAGTTACTTTCCAGAGGTGGGAATGGACAGCAGGAAAACAACTTAGTCTTTGTAAGCAGCGAGCATGACCAACCCTGCAATTGTAATGTTAGATGAGGGACAGAAATACCCATGACAGCCACATATCTGTCCTGGCAGTCTGAGCAACTCAGCATTCATGAAAAGTACAAATACATTAGAAAAACTACAGGAAGCTGATAGAATGTTTTGGCACAACTTCAACTTAATTTTTGCTGAATAAATGATAGGTTTTTTTTAGTCTCCCACGTTCCAACAGTAGAAAATGTTTGGATCCGTTTACTTGGATTTTAAATCGGGTTCTTTGGAAGAATTTATTTTCTTTTTATGGTCAGGAAGTGGATTACAATAAATATTTTACTGACAGATTTGTCTCCGTGTCAGTGTAAGACAAAACAGGTAATTTTCATTGTTGGAAACAGCAAGGTTTTTACACTTTTTACTAGTATGAGGTGCTATCTAGGGGTATGAGACCTGCAGGAAACTTAGAGCTTGTTTCAGAAGAATAAACAAAAGAGGAAAAAAAGAAAAATTCTGCAAACAGCAATTTGTGCCCTTAATATATTTTCTGTAGCCACCTTAATACCCTTAATGTATGTATCTAATAACTGCTGCTGCATTCTTATGCAATAGTGAGTGTAAGGTGGCAATTATGGCTTGTAAGTAGCACTGATACAAGCATTGCTGTGATATCTGAACCGCAGCAATAAAATCCCTTTCTTGTAAAGACTTTTCCTAACATTATTACTTTATCTGGCCAAAAGGTCATGCAGCGGCTTTCCCACGGAACGGTTTTGGAGGGGAGCTGAGCTGACCTGCCTGTTGCTGGTGGAGGCAGGGGAGTCGGGTGGGCTGCCTGGAGACAGGTTTGGAACGTGGGGTTTCTTGTCCATCAAGGGGTGTCGGGAGCTGGAGACCGACAAGCAGCAGGGCTGCCCGCACACCCGAGGGGCAAGTGTCTGTCCCGGGGAGGCAAGCAGGCTGACTTAAGGTGAGACTTAATGGAGACAACGATAAGGGTGGTAAGGAGAAGCCGGGAAAGGAGACATCAGGTCTGCATTCTTTCCAGGGCTTTGTCGTGTTTATGTTTTCATTTTTAAATATCTGAAGGCCATTTGGCTGTTGGGAACCAGCAGCGTGGAGCTCAGACTGATAGGCTTTGTCATGGCTTTTAAACTGAAAGAGAGGCGAGCAAGGCTTCCACTGACCCTGGGGAGACAGTCACTCCCAGTATTTAAGTACCAGGAAAAGAAGAGGAGAACTGGAAGCATCATCAGAATTGCATCCGGGTTCGAAGTTGTCCCACGACAATATCCAGCCACGACTAAAACGCTTGCCGTGAGACTTCACAGGGAAGCATGGCGGATGCCCGGGAGGCACACAGGCAGGTGACGATTTGGTGCTTATGACTGATGCGTACGGTTGAGGTTCTCTGAAATCTCTGAGCCAGATTAGTGGAATACTTGGACTGAACTGCCTGCGCGGGGTAGGCTACTAATATGTTTTTCAGCAAGCTGTGTCATTAACTTCAGTGAGTTATACTCTTAAAGCCTAATACATAATCAGCTTATTGAAGGGCTTGCGATTTATGGCTTCATGCCTCACCAGCACGGTTTGTTTTGATATTTTCTACTTCATCGCATTCAAACTTCTATTTTTGCCGATCTGTCAGGCACGGGCTGACAGCTTTGCCAGTCAGAGACAGTTCCCTGTCAAAGTCAAGGGCAAAACTCTCATTGACTTCAGCAGTGTAATAGCAGGTCTAAAACTTGTAAGCAGCCTGTCTTCTGTGTCGACCCAGCGAATGGGAGCATGCCTGAGGCTTGATTTTGGTGTTGCTTTTTGTGTTCTGCCGCCACTGGAGGTAGGGTATGGATTTGTGGCTGTTCTCACGATCTGGAGCGGTGGTATCCTTGCTCCTTAAATCTTCCCCATTCAGGGGCATGAGCTTGAGCTCTGATCTTCAGTTGCTTGCCAAAGTCTGCTGGCTGCCAGCCAAATGCAACCTTGTGGAGACTTCTTGGAGCCCAACCTGAGCAGGCAACTTCATGGCCAGAGGAAGTAATGAAGCCTGATACCATATTGCTCAGCGTCTCATGGTTGTATCGCTTCAGGTCTATAAAGGTGTAAAAACCTGACTGGTCTTTTCTTCTTGGCTGTGGCATTTGCTCTGTCTGTCTCTTTGACGTTTGATAAAATATTAGGCTCGCACTGTTCCTTACCGCGCACCTGTGGGTGGATGGGAATTTGGATTTTTCCTCAATCCACCTCCCTTACAAAATTCCTGTTGCTTTCATTAAAGTCATGTTGCCTCTTCTGTCCTGTCAGAGTTGTTTGGCATTTGTAAGGTTTGGATGTTAATATGGGCACGGGCACATATGGATGCTTCCTTGAGTCTCCTTAGGAAAAATCTTATGACCGTCAATGGCAGCAAAATTAATATATGCCTCTCTCTTTCTTTTCTCCTTTTGAGCAGTGCCTTCCCTCTGTGCTTTATTAAAAACAGTAGCACAGCCAGACCGTGCATTACTGACTACTGTAGTGTCGAGAATGTGGCTAATAGTTAACCGCATTTGCCTGTGCAGGCTGTGGCATGGGTTACACTCGCGTGCCCTGCTGCCAGCCCGGAGCCCCAATGACTCACGGTGCATTGCTTGCAGCAAGCGAGCACGCTAACTCACAGAGGCGAGCTTCGGCAGGTCGTGCCGGGACTGCACAGGCAACCACCAGCAGGTGCACGGACTTTCCGGAGTGCGTTGGGAATGCCCAGGGATCTTTTGCAGTCAGATTCACAAAGCAGGTCCCGTCTCTTCTCTGTGCAGTTGTGGTTCATTGCATGAGAGGGGTTTTTGTAGTGACATCCGCAGTCAATATTTCTGCTTCCTGCGCTCTGAATTCCTCAGGGGTTTGAGGTTGGTCCCTGGTTATCATCTGTAATCCTGGGAGCAGCTGAAAGTTTAGTAGGTTTGAGTATTTAGCAAGATACTTTCAGGTGGAAAGCATAATAAAAACGTACGCTCCTGTTCTTTCTGTGTTTCTCCTGGAGAAGTTGTCATATTTTATTACTTAACTACAGTTCTTTTTTTCGTAACTCCTTTTCCTGTCTCCCTTTCCTCTCTCCCTCATCAGGACAACTGAAAATAGTCTTGCAGAAGTGCAGCGGCGTAGGTTGCTTTCCCATGCCGTTTCACTGCGTGCACTCAGTGAAATGTCCTTGATTTGCCCGGGTCAATGAATGGCAACGTTTTCCCTGGGAAACTACTGTATTTCTGCTTAATCAAATCTGACCTCCTTTTAGGAATGAGCTTAAGGTGTTCTGTTGAATTGTAACATTACAGACACCACTTCTTGATCTGCTTCGAACGGCAAAATATTCCTCTTCATTTTTTTTGTAGTTGCTGCAGCATGTCTGTAGTGTTCTCCTGTCTCTCCAAGACTCTGTAAATTGTTCTTAATAAAGCTGCACAGGCTAATTGCAACCAACAGATATCTTTTTGTACTCCCTCCCAATTATCCCCAATCTTCTAGGCAGTTTTCCTGGCATTGTCCCACCAACGCTGCAGATAGGGTTGGTTGTTTTTTTGTTTTTTTTGTTTTTTTTTTTTCCAGGGAGTTAAAATGTGAAGCGCAGTTATCTTCTGGGGCAGGTGGCCACTTGTTAATAGGTTTGACATCCATTTGTGGTATGGGTCAGTTCAAGGCATGTCTGGCTTTTTGGTGCTGGTAGATGCAAACGCGTATTTTTGTTGCTTCAATTGCCAGGGCTTGATTTTTGGCTTTGAGTGTTGCAGTCTACCTGAGGGGCTTTCCAAATAGCTCGGTGGGAGAGACATCTCTCGCTTTCGTGCCCACGCACTCCCTGGCATGCCTGGCGGGCACACAGTGCCGTTGTCACAGGGCACCGTCGAGGGGCCATCGAGGTGGCTGGGTGGGAATTGGTACCTGCAAGCCTGTTGCAGGCTGCCTGCATAGTTTAGCATTACAAAAAAAATGCATAAAATGTTCCCATTTTGGGTTGTTTTTCAGAACATGTAAAATATTTGGACAAATCCCCTGGGTTTCCTTTTTGTTTGTTTGTTGTGTGCTTTAGGACTAGATTTGAGAGGTTATGTCCTTTTGGGTGACTCCTACAAAGTGCTGGCTTCTCTGATCTCAGCAGTGCTTGAGTGAAGCAGATGTTGATCTTCTCTGCATAGTTGTAAAAGTGCTCAAACTCATGTGGGACTGGATCACAAATGTTCTTTTGAGATGTTCCTTCCTGTTACTGAAAGGTTAAAAGAACATTTTTGTTCTATCAAATGTTAAGGAGAAGGGTTATGGCAGGCTCAAGAGCCACATGCTGCTTGTTTCAGGAAAAGCTTTTTTATAGGGGTGTAAAAGGACAATGTATTTAATAATTTATTATTTAAGGTGTTAATATATGCTGCCTGAGAGTATTTTCATAGCTTTGTCATTTAAATATATTTTAAAATTTGGAGCAGATATTTCCCCCTTTCCCCTCACCCAGTACAGTTTTCATATGCGGTTTGAAGTATTTTCTCCCTGAAACTGTATTTCTAATCATGGTGGTTTTATACTTTCCTCTTTCTTGTAGCTTTTTGATCATGTTGCTGAATGCCTGGGAGACTTTATGGAGAAACAACAAATCAAAGACAAGAAATTACCAGTTGGGTTTACGTTTTCCTTCCCGTGTCGACAATCCAAGCTAGATGAGGTAAGAAGATTTCACAGTTTTCTTAATATGCAGAAGAGCTACAGCTGTGATTAAAACACTGCTATGAAAGCAGTATCCTAGACAGGTCTTGGTTTTGGGATAAATGAGTGTTATATTTCACTGTCAGACTTCATGCTTGTGTTTATGTTTCTTCTGAAAGAGCTGGTTAACAGATGATAAAGAGGCATCTGATGTTTTGTACTGCCTCTGAGTGAGCTCCTCAGTATTACAGTTTACCGTGTAAACATGGCAGCAATTTTTCCTGCCTCTTGTGCAGCCTTTTTCACCTCTCCATGAGGTGTAACTGGGAGGGACCCAGCCCAGCAGCATTTGCTCAGATTTTGCGGAACTTCACAAGTGCACGCACCGATCCAGATCGGGGTCTCCCTCCTGAGCAGCAGTGCTGAGCCATGCCACTGGCTGGGTGCTCAGCACTGTGGGAAATCAGGCAGGCCACCTGGAACTGATGCGCTTTAAAAAGGGATGGAAATAACCAGCGTTGTATGAAGTGACTGATGAGATTCCCGTGGCAAGGATGCTACGGTATTTTCCTTCTTTCGCTTATTATATCACAAATGACTCAGCAGCCTCCCGGTACAGCATCGCTATGGCAATGGCGTAGCAAATTAATGCAGGAAAGTTAAATCCACACAAAACACTAAGAGGTTGCACTGTTAAAGCGTGACCTGCTTTTCTAGCTTGCAGGTCTCTAGGTTAGCCTGGTGCAACGGCTCCCCAGATGTTGGTGCTGAGGAGGGCCAGGTGAGGCACGATTTTTATTACATTTCATACTTCTTGAGCGATGCTGAGAGCTGAAACCAAGGGTGCTTACTAACTCAGGTCTGAATGTAGTTAAGAAAAGAGCGAGCTGCCTTTTCCTGCATCAGTTCAGAAAAGATGAGTTGATTTTGGTGCAGCTCTCCCATCTGGCCGTGATGCATGGTAAGGCTCAGGCTACTGACCACACCAGAGTCATGCCGGGCATGTGGTTGTGAAGTTGAGTTGCCCTTGGGAAAATTTATTTAGCTGCATGATGAAAGGCGCTTGTTTGTGGGCTGGTTTGCTCGAGCCAGCTGGGATGAGATCATGCTTGTGTGGGGCAGGCAGGTAGCATGTGGGATGGCTTGGGGACACCGGTGGAGACTTGGAGATGAGCAGTGGCAGAGTGGAGGAGGATAGTAAGAGACAAGGGACGGTGTCTCTTAATAAAAAAAAACCACCAAAAAACCCCCAAAACTCTCTTTCTGAGAGTTTTTGTAATATTTTGGCCATTTGAAAAATGTTTTTCTGGATTCCGTGGGCCGGATTTGTTCCTGGATTGCTGCTTCTGTGAGGCTGTGCTTGTCTATGTGCTGTTTTCTTGAGCTTGGTGAGCAGAAGGAGACAGGGTGGTCCCTGGTTTCTCCAAGGGTGACAAGGTGGCACTGCATGGTTGGGTCCCGCTCAACCCTGCTGCACTCCAAGGGCTCTTCCCTGCTGCCAAGGTCTTGCTGGTGAAGCAAAAAATCCTTCCAGCGCAGCAGCCAGTCATGCTGAGAGGAGCTGCTCTTTGCCAGTGTGGTTTGACCAGTTTTCCTGAATGATGACAGTTACGTGGAACAAGGGGCCCTTTTGCCCATTAAAGCTGTGCCTGCAGAATGGGCTTTGCCATGGTTTCCCTGCGCAGCAGCACGGGGCTTTGCTGGGTTTCTAAATGATGCTAACGAGGGCAACGTAGTGGCAAAACTTATGCAAATTGAGTTTGTGTTTTAGTGGTAGGAAAATACCTCCTGGTCTGGAAAGAGCTGCCCTGACCCCTCTGTCCCCTGTAGCTATCCCAGCTGGGAGGGTGAATGTGCACAAGACACGTGGTTGATTTCTAGGCTGAGATATGGGCTTACATACACCTGGGCAACGGCTGTTTGTGCCTGTAGGCTTCAGCTTTTCTGATTTTTAGCTTCTTGGACTCCTGTTGTGATAGCTGTGAATATTATGGTGGGTATGAAAAGCTGAGCTGATTTGAGTTGTCTTTCCTGTTGACTACTGTTAATGCTCCTTTCTTTTTTTATTATTATTTATTTATATACTAAATGCTCTGAATCAGCTAGGCATTATCTAAATAGAAAAAAAATCAGATGTAGTCATTAACTTGGGGGATTTGCAGGTTCTTTATGACAGTTTGCAGACAAGGAATTCAATACCAGGATTTCCTTTTCGATCCGTACTGTAAGTTGGGGACATATATTGCTACATTTCTAGTATTTCCATTTGCCTCAACCCATAAACATGATCCGACAGTGAAACAAGCCTGGACAGCTGGGACTCCAGGCAGCAAATGTGCAGCAGTCTGATCCCCGCTGCAGCCGAGTCCTGGATGTACAAACATCACATCCCTTCTCTTTAGTCAGTCCCGCGCAGTCAGCTTTTTCTGAAAGCAGTTGATTTCCGTGGCCCAAGAGGATTAAATGGTTTTCCAAGAAAAACTGTCGAGGAGTAACAGGGAGAAGAGTGGGCTGAAAACAGAAAGTGCAAACAAACCTTTTTCTAGCAAGGGAGGGGAAAACAATTTCCCATCTTTCAGCTTACTGTAATGAGAATCAAAGACCGCCAGTTGTCTCGGGTTGGGTTGTTAGGTCATACAAGAAAAGAGACCTGAAGATGCATTTGAAGTATAAAATCTTGTTTTTAAGGAAAAAAAAAAATCGATTTGTGTCTTATGGTGGCATCCTGTTGAATATTGCTGTCTTGTTTTATCAGGGTATTCTGATAACCTGGACGAAGCGCTTCAAAGCAAGCGGAGTGGAGGGAGCAGATGTTGTGAAGCTGCTTAACAGGGCCATCAAGAAACGTGGGGTAAATTGTACTTCATTCTTTTTTTAACTCTGTATCACAGCAAACTGCCATTTCTTTGTCAGGGACCACCTTCACGTCACTGACTTGAGCGTGTGATCTGAGTGATAGTGCAGCTCTGCTTTCTTGCATGAAGATGTGCGTTTTTTCCATTTGCTGGGAAAATGGAGCGACGTCAGAGTTGCTATGTGGAAGCTGTGATTTTCCTCACAGCACAAAACTGAGTGACTGTGTTGTGGTTTGTCGCTGGCAACCGTCAGCAATTTTATCACTCTCCAAAAACTGAAAAAGTGCTGCGTGTCAGTGCCGCAACTTTTCAGTGATACCGACATATCCTATTCCTGTGAAACCGCATCTCATGGTCTGGGCTCAGCTGAGTTGTGCGACTGCTTGGGAGCAGGTGAGGAGCAGGGTAGATGAGAAGGGGGATTTCAGGCTCAGTGAGCTGTGTTGCTCCCTGCAGTTTCTCACTGCTGATTTTGTAGAGGGTGAAGGTGACCATGTTGCTGATTTAAACAAATAAAAAGGCACTGAGTGTGAGATGGAATAAATTTGGGTTTGCGTGATGCTTGCAGCCAGGTGATATGTTGATTACTCAGCAACCAAATTAATCGGAAACAGGGCAGTATTTGCTCTATTTGGGCAGCTGTGGACTTTTAAGCAAACCTGAGTTTTACTGTCACTGAACAACATTACTGTAGTCAGTTACTATCATCAGACTTGATATCAGGTAGAGTAACACACTGAAGAAGCTGGAAAGGAATGAGTGTGTGTCGTTTGGATAGCTTATTTAGTTGCATTATTTGCTTATAATTTTGTATTAAAATCTTCACTTGAAATAAAACTCCTAGATGTTTTAAGTGAATTCTATGAGAAATACATAACTTGGGAGTATTTTCTAGATTAACTCCTCAAGCAACTACATCAAATTACTCCATGATTTAACTGCAGAGTTCCTCCTTCCCTCATGTATAGCCCTTCTCTTTCCTGCCTAAGAGTGCTTATGTGAGAGCAGGTCTTTGCGCTCTCGAATTATGCTACTGCTGTTTTATTGTTTGCCTGGTGCATTAGTGTGCTCTCATTGTCTTCCTGGGTACGTGGGATAGGGAACTGGCAGACAGAACAGGTGATATTTAAAAAGATGAGCTGTGGTATTCAGACAAACTGTCTCCTGTTCCTTGTGAAATTAGTTGACGTAAGTGAACTGGTGATAAACACAAGCAGTGTTTTTCCAGAGAAGCCATACGGCCCAAGTAACGTTTTGTTCCTCCATCAGGACTACGATGCAGATATCATGGCTGTTGTGAATGACACCGTCGGGACTATGATGACCTGTGGTTTTGATGACCAGCGTTGCGAAGTTGGCTTGATCATTGGTAACGCACATTGCTGCTGCAGCATGCACGTGACTTTTCTCCCTTTGCCTGGCCTGTTTGGTTAGCACCTTCTGATATCCTTTCCCTAAAGGCACTGGCACCAATGCCTGTTACATGGAGGAGATGCGGCACATTGACCTGGTGGAAGGCGATGAGGGCAGGATGTGCATTAACACGGAGTGGGGGGCCTTTGGAGATGATGGTTCACTAGAAGACATCAGGACCGAGTTTGATCGAGAGATCGACCGTGGATCCCTTAATCCTGGGAAGCAGCTGTGAGTGAGGCAGTTATCTGTGAGCTTTGCTGCTTTTGTTTTCTGCTCTGTGCTCCCTTTTCCACTTGTGTTATGAATGCAGCAGTTCAAGAAGGCTCGATTTTGCCTGTGGTGAGGCAAACTGCAGGCTGGGCTGGGTGGTGTGGTGGCAAGCTGGGCTCTGCCTCCCTTTGTTGCCCGCGGATGGATGGGTGACTGCTGCTGTACTCTCCTGCAGATTCGAGAAGATGGTCAGCGGGCTGTACATGGGGGAGCTGGTAAGGCTCATCCTGGTGAAGATGGCCAAGGAGGGGCTGCTCTTTGAGGGGAGAATCACTCCTGAGCTTCTCACCAAAGGGAAGTTTGAGACAAAGCACGTTTCTGCCATAGAAAAGTGAGTACCTATCCCTTTTCACCTCCTGGGTTTCACAGTGACTTTGAATATTAATTTTCCAGCACCTCTTTTTGCTTTGCATTGGGGCTGGCTGCCATCCTCCAGCACAGGTGCAGAGCTGGCAAGTGGGGACCCCCAGCAGACAGTCTTGTGACCTCCTCCCCAAGATTTCTCCCTTTTTCTGTGTTGGGAGGATCTACGAAAGCCTACCAGTCCGTGTAGCTACAGGGCATGTGCTGTGCTACCTCTCACCCTGCTCGCAAAAACTCAGAAGCTGCCACCCTGCAGCTAACCATGGGAGTGAATTGGCTTAGTGCCTCCAGGCAAATACTTGTGTCGCTCCTTGCTGTATCCACGGGATCGCTGGGCAGAAGGAAAACAAGCGTGACAAGGCAGAGCATTCAGTCTCGTAGGCAGTGCCGGGTGCTACATGGTGACCTCTGAGCTATGCGCCAGTTGGTTTCTTACGGTGTCATCACCCCTTTGGTCAGTACTTACTGGCTCTTCCCCCTGCGTTTTTAAAATTCACATCACTGGGATAGTTTGTGCTGTAGTCATTGGGCTGGCTTTTCTTTTCGAAACGCTGCTGATTTTGGTGCACACATATAGAGGTACTATTGATTGCGAGTGCATCGCCAAGGGAACAGCCAGTAACTTCTACAACGCCTGTTGCCCCCTGCCCCATTTTACTCCTGTCCCTGCAGACTGTCTTACCTGAACAGCTTTCCGTTAAATGTGTATGTTCATTTGTCTTAACTACAGAGGTCGGTGTAATGGACCAATGTAATGTTGAACAATAAGAAAAATGCAGTTATTGAGAAGTTCAGTTACTAAGAGCAAAATTTGCCCTGAAATCCCACCTTACTTCCTGAAGAGCACTTTGGTTATAATTAGGGGGCACATCTCTGTGCAGCTTCAGATTTCTGGCTGATGCTAGCAAGATGCAAGAGTCCTTAAAAAGATGTATGGAGTGCAGTTAGTAATGACAAGATACACTCCTTGTGTTTTTGTCTGGGAAGTGACTGAGCTGGACGTGGATAAGTTTTGCCAGAAACTTTGCTCTCAGGCTGGGTGCTAATGAGGGAAAATGCAGTGCAAGAGACAGAAATTCAGTGAGGTTGTAAAAGCCTGAAAAGAGACCCATTAGGATGAAATCACTTAGGCAACCTTCGCTCAGGGTTTTGCTTTTCACACTGGGCTTTATTTATTGAGACATATGAGCGAGCGAGTGTGGGATTAGGTGTATGCTCAGGCCTGTGCTGAATTGTGGGGCTGGTGGTTCCTGCTCCAGAGAGAAGCTGTTTGAAGTTTAAAGCATCAGTCTGATGAAAAAGCATTTAATTCCTCCAGGTCTGTATAAGTGCTTGGAAGTTGCTGATTTTCTTGGGGGTGCACTGAACGAGCTGTCATGAGGTTGCTGCTCTGCTTTGGGTCTGGTGCTGTTGGACCAACTGCAGCCGGAGCTACTGGATGCGCTGTGCTCCTGGGGGGATGCCCTGGCTCCACAGGATGGGGCTGGTCCTGGTCCTGGTCCCATGCATTCACTTTCAGAGTACAGGAAGCTTGCTTGGTACGAGATTTGGTCTGGTCATCTGGCACAACAAAAACGTGGTCTGTGTTGGAGAGACTTGCACATAATTAGCGTTGGACACCTTTCCAGTGACGTGATGTACCTCTTGCCTTGTGGGAAACGAACGTGAAGGAGGGCAGGCTCTTGGGTACATATGGGAGTAATCCTGCCCATAGGGTGGCTGCTATAGTATCTGGAATTGCATGGTTTGTAGGTTGCATGTTTGCATCAGGCTTTAATGGAAAGCTGTTTCTATCTGTGAATGAATGCATATTTAGAGCACTTTATTTCAAGCGTCGTGGAGCTTTCCAGTCCAGATCTCTTAATAAATTTTCTTTCTAACCCCTTTCTCAAACTGCAGGCAGGGACACCCGTGGTTGGATGCACCTCAGTCCTGCGTTTTATAGCTCCCCCACTAAGGACTACCCATTACTGCTCTCTCTTCTTTGTAGGAGCAAAGAAGGTTTGAACAAAGCCAAAGAAATTTTAACCCGCCTGGGGGTGGAGCCGTCCCATGAGGACTGCATCGCCGTCCAGCACGTCTGCACCATCGTGTCCTTCCGCTCGGCCAACCTGGTGGCCTCTACGCTGGGTGCCATCCTCAACCAGCTGCGGGATAACAAAGGGGTCGGCCGCCTCCGGACCACCGTGGGGGTCGACGGCTCTCTCTACAAGATGCATCCACAGTGAGTCCCTCCGCTCCTGCCGTTGACACTCTTCACCTGCCGCGGTTTGCAAAGGGTCGAGCATGTAACCCCAGGACATCGCCCAGGCATGTGGTTTGGGTGTGAGATGAGGAACCTGAAATGTGGGTGTGGGGGTTTGGTCTGAGATGGGGAGCTTAGTGGAAAGGAGAGTTGTCTTTAAGTGAAGAAGTAGGGTGAGATTTTAAAAAAGACCAACAAAACCACAAAGAAAAGAACCAAACACCTGAGTAATTGGATGCTGCGATATCGGTGAAAACTATGGTGGTTTGAGTACATACCTTAAGGGATTTCAGTAGATCTCTTGGAAGGTGAGTTTCTTTGTACAAAATATTACTTTTGTGCCCGTGGATTGGGCTTTGATGAGAAGTGCATTAATGCACCTTGATCTCCATTTTCAATTTAAACTCAGTTGTTTTGAAAATGACTGTGCTAAACCCTATTTTTTTTCAATCTTTTCTGAAGATATACTTGGAAATCAGGGGAAAAAATTGGTGCTTACATTTCCGTGGCTTTTTAAAAACTGTCCTTGTCTTGTTTTTCCCCACCTTGAAAGTTACATTTTTAATCAAACAGCTGCTTAGATTTACGTAGAAATCAGAGAGGAACTTGAGCTCTTCTGCTGTGGGTGTACCTGATCCTGGTAACAGAGTTTGGTGTGAGTCTTAGTGTCAGAAATAACCCCAGTGCCCAAGCCCTAACGCTGTGGATGTTTGGGAGAGGCTGCTGGCCTGTGTGTGCTGGGATAGCAGCACCTGGGTAAGGGCTTCCAAGTTCAGGATAAAGAAGTGGAAGAAATATGCAGTGTGCAGGTGTCATTTATGCACACGTGGTAAAAGGCTTTTATTTCGTGGTGATGACAAGTCAGTTTCCAGTCTCGGCTGTAGGATTTAGCTGAAGGGGAACAGAGGCAGAGCATACAGGCCATACCTTGGCATTGGAGCTGGCTGGGAGGGCCAAGTGTCATTTATGAGGGAATTTTTGAAAGGAGAAATATGTTTAACGTTTCATTTCCAGTTTCTCATTATTTTATTGAAAAAAATACTTTCCTTAGTTAAAGAAAACCGTAAAATTTTGGCAAACAAAAAAATTCTCAAGAACGCGATTTTGACTAGCTTTTCCAGATGGGCAGGTCCAGGGTGTGTTAAGATAACACACATGGGCAATTTTTGTTTCTGAACTCTTTCACCCCACACCATCTAAACCAGTGAGTTCAGGACAGCTTGATGACCCCAGGAGAGGCGATCAGAGCCTGGGGGTTTCTCCCACCTAGGGTCAGGTTCAGGGGATGAGACTCTGATGCTCCCCGCTGCTTTTTGCTGGCTTTTCTTAAAAGTTCAGGAGGAAAGAGGCCATAGGGAAGAACTGCTCTTTCCTGCTTGGGAGGCTGTAGCTAGTTCGGGTGCGATGAGGCTTCTTGCTTCCTTTGCTTTCTGTCCTTGTTGGCAGCATAAATTTTGGGGGCCGTGGGGGGGGAGGTAAAGCAGACGTCGGGCTTGCAGCCTCCCCTCCCCGCAGGTACGCCCGGCGCTTGCACAAAACCACCCGGCGCTTGGTGCCTGACTCAGAAGTGCGGTTCCTGCTGTCGGAGAGCGGCAGCGGGAAGGGAGCAGCGATGGTGACGGCGGTGGCGTACCGGCTGGCGGAGCAGCACCGGCTCATCGATGAGACCCTGGCCGAGTTCAAGCTCACCCACGAGCAGCTGCTGCAGGTGAAGAAGAGGATGAGGGCGGAGATGGAAGCGGGGCTGAAGAAGAAGACGCACGAGACTGCCAAAGTGAAAATGCTGCCCACCTTCGTCCGCAGCACGCCGGATGGGACAGGTAGAGAGGCATGCCCTCGCTGGACCGAGGGCGCCGGCTCAGCTGAGGGGTGCCCAAAATGGGCTCCCAGCAGTGGGGTTTGGATTTGGTGGAGGGTGAGCAGGTCTGGTGCAATGGAAGAGGAGCCTCTTGAGTGGTGCAAGGGGAAATCTCAGCCCTGGGCAGGGCAGCCTGCACTTGCCCTTGGGCTGGTTGCTGGCAGCCTGGCCCTATGTCCTTGCCCGAGGGTGCAAGCAAGCAGTGGCCTGGGGGGAGAAAATCACAGCTGGGCTCACAATCCAAACCCATCCGAACCCTGTTCGCAAGCCTGGGCAGTTCTTTGCATTTTAGGGTGGCTGGCCAAATTTCTGCTTTCCCTCAGGAAACAGTTGTATGGGTCCTCTTTCCCTTATTGGTTTAAAACCAAACCAAACCAACAACCACCAAAAAAAAAAAAAGGCTGGAGTAATCAGAGCAGCATCTAAAATCCTCCTTTCATGAAGATCTACCCAACTGAGTTTCTAAGAGACTTTATATCAAAGTGTTTTCTGGAGAAAGCACTTTTTTAGGTTTTACTTACGGTTCTTTAAATATATACACATATTCTTTTACAGAGAACGGAGACTTTTTGGCACTTGACCTTGGAGGGACAAACTTTAGAGTTTTGCTGGTGAAAATCCGCAGCGGTAAAAGGAGAACAGTTGAGATGCACAACAAGATCTATGCCATTCCCATAGAGGTGATGCAGGGAACAGGAGAAGAGGTGAGTATTTGTGTTTCTCTTTTGCAGCACTGCTGCCTTTTAAATACCTTTTTAACAGCGTGTAACATGTACAATTTCAAATGCATGACTTTTCTCTTTAAAGCTGTTTGATCACATTGTTACCTGCATTTCTGACTTCCTGGATTACATGGGGATAAAAGGCGCACGTCTTCCTCTAGGCTTCACGTTTTCCTTCCCTTGCAAGCAGACCAGCCTGGATGCTGTAAGTTCCGGAGTATCTTTTGAATCTGCTGTTGTGCTAATGCTAGGCCTGATTTCTCTGCCTTCATATCATCTACGTGACACTTACAGGGAGGTTGTACAAGGGGAGGGTTCATGCTCTGACCCTGACCAGTACAGCTGCTCCTATAAATAGTTCCTTTAAAGGGAGCAATGCAAATGCTGCTCAGCCCATGGCTGTGACGGATAAGAGCATTTAAATTTTCCACAGTGGTGATATCCCTTTTTTAAGGTACCATGTTTTTTCCAGTCATATAAACCTGCTGGACAGTGATACTTCCCTGCTTTTGTGAGCAGTAAGCAAAAATCCATCCCTGCTGCCAGTGCCTGTTCCCCAGCTGATCTGGTCTCACCGGACGGAGCGGATGGACCAGGACCTGCTCGGCTATGTCACCCTAAGGGTGACAGTGTAGCCTGCAGCATGTCCCTGTCAAGTGTACCCTTTTTCTTTTTGCTTTCATGTTTAACTCCTTCGCTGCCACATACTTCCACCAACTCCACCTGTGCAGCTGTTAATAGTTTCCTGTCTACTTAGCACTTTTTTGAAGAAAGGCATATGTTCTGTCATGCTTATTTTTTTTGAGTTTGTTGTTTCTGTCACTTTTTTGAGTTTGTTGCATTGCTCTAGAAATTTGGAGACCAAGCGTGATTAGTTGCTTAAGATGCAAATTCCACATATGTAAAGAGATATTCATTTTCACAGAGACTCTTCTGTGTAACCTCACACTAAAGCATTTGAAATATCAAGTGTACAGAATATCATTTGAGTCTTAGTGAAAATAAGATGAATATTCATATATAAGGAAGGAGGAAATAGGCAGTGATGTTAGGAGCAGCATTCAAATGTCCAGCTCTAGAATGATGTCATCTTGCTGATGATAGGAGGCTTGGTCAAGCCAGGGAGACTTTGGAGTGTGACTGAGAGAGAAGACGGGTTGTTCAGCAAAATGTAGCACCCATGTTGGTGAATACTGGAGAACCTCCTCCTTGAGCTGAGGGCCCCTATGAGTCTGTGTACTGACTGACCATAAATATTCATGGCCATTTGCTGGGACTGTGGGGTGAGAGCTGGAGTGTGCGATAACCTGTGGTCACCTGTGTGGAGTGTTGTGATTTTGTGCTTTTACGGGCTGGGGAGGTGGGCGCACGCAGGGAAGTAATCAGATAGAAATGCTCAGTGATTGTCCCTTGGAGGATTGTAGGATTTGGGGGGCAATCTGTAGTGCACCAGGAAACTTGATAACCTATTTTCTGTCTTTTTAGGGTATCCTTCTCAATTGGACAAAAGGCTTCAAAGCTACAGACTGTGAGGGAGAAGATGTGGTGTATTTGCTTAGAGAAGGAATTAAAAGAAGAGAGGTGATTTTGCTTTGGTTCTGTTTTCTTTTTCTCCTCCTACTTCTCCCTCCCCTCCAGATTTGACAGACCTCATGGGTCAGGATGGCTCCCTCTCACAGGGTTTCTGTGCCTTGAGGACACAAGCTGTGCCTCCTGTCCTGCACAGAAGGCGTTTGCCTTGCAGCAGGTCCAGGTACAGCAGCCTCTGATGCCATGTTGCTGTGCTGGTTCTGATGCTTACGTGTAGCCTGACCACCACGTAGGACAGTCTAGAGGGTACACAGTGGAAATGGGAGAGTTCAGCCGCCAAACCGAAATTGCTACTCAAAATGAGTTACACCTGGGGATTTCGTTTCATTGCTTGTTTTTTTCCCCAGAGGCTTCTAACTTTCTAAATTGGGTAGAACTCACAAGGCTTCTCTCAAACCCTGTGGCAATTTTCACTGCATCAGAGCATGAAGAAAGCAGGAGTTTTCAATATAGTGATTGTAGGAATGCACCTCAGTGCACCCTAAATGACAGTTTCCTCCCCTCCCAACCCTTATCTTGAAAAAGCCTGAAGCAGCTTAGCTGAAAGAAACTTTCTAGGAAGGGAAGAAAAATAGCCTGAGGAGAGCATTATTCAGAGTTTTTATCAGCAAGTGAAAAGGAGGTCTTAAAAACCTTTGCTACTGGATTTGCTACTGCACTGCTGTAATACAGAATGGTAATAGCCCTCTACCGTGTGCCTATATACAAGATCTGTACTTAGATAAAGCCAAAGAGAACAGCCAGGAATATACTTTCTTCTGAAGACATAGTCTATCCTAAGTAGAGTATGCAAGGAGCCTTAGCTACCTGCTGGTAGATTAAGTTCCTATTTTTGCATGTGTAAAATCAGGCTGGTATTTTCAGTTGTTTGTTTCCAATGTATTTTGACAGCAGTGTGCTCCTTTTGTGTCCCCTTTTGTGTGAGGGGTTGCCCCAAACCCAGAGTTCTCACTGTTGTATTTCTCTCTTCCAAAGGAGTTTGACTTGGATGTGGTGGCTGTGGTGAATGATACGGTGGGGACAATGATGACTTGTGCTTATGAAGACCCAAACTGTGAAATCGGACTCATTGTGGGTATGTGTTAGAGCTGCTTTTTCTTCGGCACTTTTTTATTAAACAGCATGTCCACACATCTGTCTGTGTGCTCATGGAGACATCCCTGTGGTTAACTGAAAATATAGCTAGGGTGTCCAGGAGTGAAAGATTTTGAGATTAACAACTATCCCTTCAGAAGCAAGCTGCATGAAGTTGTTAAGAGCAAAATTCAATAGCCAGCTTAGTTCTGTCTACAGTCAGTTGAGATAAGCACAGGCTGTAATGCTGAACAAATCCTGCCTGTTTTATCTGGGAAAGGCACTGTGCTGCTTGTGAAGCAAGCAAACGTGGGCTCGGGTAGCCTCACCAGCTCCTGGAGTATCTGGTACTTTAGCCCATGAGAGTTTCCTTGCCGGGGCATTCAGGTAGCCCACAGCTTCCCTCGAGCATGTGGTCTCTCAGAATAAACTTGTAAAGCACAGCCACAATTCCCGAATGGCATGTGATGGAAGGCTCTGATAGACAAAGTGCAGCGACTGATAGCTCCCTTCCCAGCAGTGAGACAGCTGAAATAATTCCACAGGCAACTGCTGATGCCTTTGCAAATGCCACGCTTGGGGTGCCTGAAGCATGGGGCGGTATGAATTCCCAAAGCTCTCCAGAGAAATGAGTTGTCGGTGGGAGAGAAGGGGACAAGGCACCTGCAAGCTGTAAGAACGCTCTCAGTTGTGAGGTGGCTTGTAGGAGAAAAAAAATGCCACCAATTTCTCCTCCAGACAGTTGGAAAATGTCCAGGATGAGTCAGCACAGTGCAGTGTGGGTAGGAAGCTGTGTCTGCGCAGCTCCGTCGGTGCCGTGTTTTCAGGGACAGAGTTCCCTACAGGAAGGACAGCATGTCCTTGGGGTGCTGAGAGCATCGTCTGAGGACCGTCTCCTGCAGCCCTGCCAGAAATGCTCTCCAGCCAGCGTGTCTGCGTGCAGAGCAGGGGGTCGGAGGTGTATATCTGGGTATATCTGGGATAATGAGAGCGAAAGCCCCGGGGGTCTGACAGCTCCCTCTGCCCTGCCTGAATTGCCTTGGCCAGATTGATGGTGCTTGCTCAGGAACCTGCACGAGCTGGCAGTCGCCTTGCTCCTCCCCAGTGCAGGGAGGTGGGTGAACTTCCCTGCTGTTGCTTGGCAGGGAAAAATATTCTTGCAAGGATGAGTTCATGTCATGCTGGTGCCTTGTCTCTGCCTGGTGCCACGTCTCCCGCCCAGGAGAGCCGATGCTTTGAGTCTTCACTGCTGAATACTTCAGAAACTGCCACTGATGAGACCAGGTCTCTGCTTTTCATCTGCTGGCAACAGGAGATCATCTAAAAGCCTGTCAGTCTAACAGCCTGTATTGAATAGGTATCCACATATTCAGGCAGGCCTTACTTAGCTCATTCTGGATGACGAGACTTGGCATTGGGAGGTTGGCCAGTGCCGATGGTCCACAGCTGGGTTTGGTCTGGTTTGGTCCTGCAAACCTGGGTCTCAGTCTGCAAGCCCAGACTTTCCCCCTCCGAGCCCATGCCGTGGCTCAGCTCTCCTGCAGCAGGTGATTACTGTGGGAGGATCTATTTTTGCTCAGACTTTATTGATATAGTACCCTAAAAAAGATCACAAAGATCAGCAGAGACTTGCTGATATAATTGGTGTAGAATCTGTGATGCAGGTTTAAATGAGCGTTCAGTAGGCAATTTCAAGAAAACTTTTGCCCCAGGTAGCAGCAAAAGCTGCCTCTCTTTGCTAATAAAGCTTTGCTCCCTAAGGTCTCTGTGTACATGGAGCACTTCGTAGTTGCCACACTCCTCAGGACCCCCTTTAAGCAGAATCAGATATGGCATCATTTCAACATGGAAGTAACTTTCCTGCTGGAGAAACTATTTAAGCAATTTGAATCAGCAAAAAACCAAGCAAGAACTAAAAAATACCCTGCAATTAGCTGGTAAAACCCTTGGGGTTTTCTTTGCCCCATGCCTCAGAACTTGCTGAGGTTTTCAGTTTGGCAAATTTTCCCCTGAATTTTGTGGGTCCGTAGGCTTTGTGGAAGGTGGTTCCTAACTTCAAAATCCAGCTGGTTGCTTGCTGTGGTTTTGGGTTCAGAAGCACACGAGGGTTGGTGTGCCGAAAGTGCTGCACTGCTGCTCCTCCCTGTAGCATGGGACCCTCAGCCCAGCTGGCCTGGGTGAGCCTCTCCTCTGAGCCACCCTGAGCGGTGCACTGCAGCAGTAATATTCTCCTTCGATTTAGGATTATTGAAGATTGGGGAGGGGGTTGTGACATTTCAAATGATGATTTTACTTCACCATTCAGAAGAAGCACTTTCAAGGTCCCCCAGAAGGTTTTGTCAGGGCTGTTTTGCTTGTTTTAGTGTTGTTTTGTTCCAAACAAAGACTAATTTCAGTATTTTCTTCTTTCAGGAACTGGCAGCAATGCTTGTTACATGGAAGAGATGAGAAACATAGAGATGGTGGATGGTGAGCAAGGACGGATGTGCGTGAACACGGAGTGGGGAGCGTTCGGGGATAATGGATGCCTGGACGATATCAGGACAATATATGACAAAGCAGTTGATGACTATTCACTAAATGCTGGAAAGCAAAGGTACTGCAGGATAAATGGTGTGCTAAGTATAAGCCAGGCTGCCTTAAATGCTTTTAGGAGAGAATGGGATTTCTCCCAGTTGGAGAAGGGAGAGGTTAAGAGTGGAAAATGACTGCAGCCCTGCTATCCTGTGGGATCTCCTCTTCTGAGCTTTTTCTGGTCTCTGCTTTTTTGCAGCTTATTTGCTGCCATGGGACTGCAGCAGGGTTTTTGGTGAGAACTTCAAGAGTCTTGAAATTACTGAGAGACCCTTTTTCTCATCCTGCGTTGTACTGAGGGGCTTAAGATGGCTTGTCGTTCTTTTGCTCTTGGTCTCAGTTTAATCTCTTTTAGCTGAACTCTGTTCGTAGAAGGCTCTGCCTCTAGAAATCCTCAGCCTAGACGAGCCAGCAGCATGGTTGGAGCTTTGGAGCTGCTGAGTCTGAAGCAGTCAGCAGCTTTCTAGCAGTTGCAGCCAGCTCTGACTTCAGGCAATTTTCTGGATGAAATATGTCACGTTAGAGGACCTGCCTTTCTTGGCCCTGGAGGTTGGTCCCCTTTTGGGGCCCAGCTCTTGTTTGGGCAAGTGCCTTCCTGTCCCCTTCAAGAAAGGGCTGACAAGGAGGTGTACTCAGCACCGATAAAACTGGGCTGAGACTGCTGCATGCCCAGACTACAGTTTTTCATAATTTCTCTGCAGCAATGCTTTGATGCCAGGAGCTTTTAAAAAGATTTTGTGATTAGAGTAAATCTGCCTGAAAACCTGGGGATGCAGACAAGTTGGCAGGTCCTTTGGGAAGCTCTTTAGAAGTTCAGGCACAAACAGACCCAGAGAGGCAGATGCTGAGCGAGCTTGATGCAGCGGCAGAGATGGTGTGGACTAAGCAGCCAAAGGCAGTAGTGGAGACTGCCAGAGGGAATAATTTATTCCGGAGAGAGTTAGGCACTCAAGAGGAAGGACACTTGCTGAGTACAAGCCTGAGAGAGCTCATAATACTAAATGGACTGTGTGGCCTGCTTCCAGCGGGATGGCGTGCTGGGCTCTGCTCAATCCAGGGCAGAAACCCTGCTTTAGAGCTTCAGGAGGTGAAATAAAGGATGGATCACTCAATGCACTTTTCAAGAAATGGAAAAGTGTTTAGTTCTCATTTGTAAGGGCACAGCTTACGGACCCCAAAATGCTCCATTCAAACCAGAATGATTTGGAAGAGGAAGGAGCGCAAAGCAGATTCCTGCCCTCCTCAGCACAAGGCTGCCCTGTACTTGTGCCGAGCATCGCTCACGGACCGCTCCTTTGTCGTGTGCTGGGAAGAGGTCTGCAAGTGGAAGATATTCCCTCTCTCCAGCCTGGGGGCAAGCCTGCAAGTGGGAAACTCAGGTCCTGTCTGCAAAGTGGGGGACAAGGGGTTCAAGCCAGCTTGGTTCCTCACTCTGGTTTTTGGACTACTGGAAACCAGGTGCTGGAATTAACTGAAAAGCATAAACCAACCGTGGACCCCGAGCTTGCTAGTTTACAGGTCAGCAATCCTGCGAACATGCCGGACATACTTTTTCACATGTTTTATCTTTCACAGGTTTTGCAGCACAGGACTCCCTTAGAAACACTGCACTCGCAGTGACTGTACCTTGTGGTTTTCCTGTAATTTTCTGCAGGGAGCCACTGAGCTTTTTCTGTGGAAGGTTTCAGCTGTGCTTCAAGAGGGCTCCCAAATGTTGTGCAGTGGAGACAAGTTTTCCCTGGGGTCCACTCAGGGCTGTCACTGGGGGATGCATGGCAAATCTGGCTTTCATCTGGGCATTGTTCTGCTGTCTGGCAACAGGTTTTCATCCCTTCCATCTGGGAGAAGTACCAGCCGTCATTAACAACAGCCTGGCTGGGGGAACATGGTAGTGAGGAATAGATGGAGTGTTTGTAGATGGGCTCACAAGGCTTCCCACTGAGTCTTTATGCTTTTTCTTGCCCAGTTTTTCTAGTAAATGGCCATTCTGTGTGAATTAGATTGCGTTTTTCATGTCCCCAATGTGTGCGGGCAGGACACCTGGCTGATAACGCAGCTGCGATGCTGCCTTTGCAAATGTGAGCAGCGTCCCTCTGAGCTGTGCCGCTGTCTTTCGTTGCAGGTACGAGAAAATGATCAGTGGGATGTACCTGGGGGAAATAGTCCGCAATATTTTGATTGACTTCACCAAACGGGGGTTCCTGTTCAGAGGCCAGATTTCAGAGACGCTGAAGACCAGACATATCTTTGAAACCAAGTTCCTTTCTCAGATTGAGAGGTAAGAGCACTGCATAGGATGGGAGGCTGTTTGGAGTGAAATAGTGTGGTAACTAACGCTCATCTGGTGACACTGCTGGAGGGGAGGGACAGCTGGAGAGCTGTCTGTCTCCAGAGAGGTTGTGTGGTTCTCCAGAGATAATTTTGGTTTCAGTAAGAGCCTGCGCATGTGCAGGAGGACTCTTACAACATCACCTGAATTTCTAGCAATGCTCGCTGCTAAATAATGGGAAGGGCTGTCAGGGGTTCCCTTACTGTATCATTTCATTTGCTTGCTTGGAAATCAAGTCATTTTGCTGTGCCCCTTGTGTGTCTAGCTATAATTGTTGAACTGAAATAACACTAGCTGAATGAGCACTTTTTTACTGGATATTTTTGTGTCTTTGTTGCTCGGACTCTGTATTTTAAATCAATCTCAAAGCCTGTTGAGTCTTTATGTGAGGAAAAACCCCAAGTTGGTCATGAAAAATATTTTCCTGAAATGCCCTTTGGTAAGAAAAGAGAAAGGGAAGCAATGAAGAGCTGGACTTGGAGCCTTCCTTGCTGCCTGCGCCCCTCTCCTGCACTGCAGCGTGGTGCTGGGGTGAATGAATTTGCATTCCCCGAGGTCTCTCGCGCTGGCAGGAGAGGCTGCTGCCTGCTGTGGGTGCATGGATGCTGGGTGCATGTGGGTGGCAGCGGCTTGACTGAGGGAAACCTTTAATTTAACACCGTGCTCTTCTGCTTCCGCAGTGACAGGTTAGCCTTGCTGCAGGTGCGAGCCATCCTCCAGCAGCTGGGGCTCAACAGCACCTGCGATGACAGTATCATTGTCAAGACTGTGTGTGGAGCGGTGTCGAGGCGAGCAGCTCAGTTGTGCGGCGCTGGAATGGCTGCGGTTGTAGATAAAATTAGGGAGAACAGAGGATTAGAGCACCTGGAGATAACGGTTGGTGTGGATGGGACTCTGTACAAACTACATCCACAGTGAGTATTCACCGTCTCAGCGTTTTTTTGCCTGGGATCTGTAGCGCGTTGCTTGTATATCCTTTCTCTTGATGCACCGAACCGGTATCTCTTATTTGCTAGGGTAAGAGCCAGGGCAAAGAAGTCTTAATCAGGGGTGGTCAGGGCTTTCTGATGGGCAACGAGAGGATCAAGAAGGACTTGTGAAGGATTCTTGGGGCAGTGACAAACTGAAGGGGACGCAGCTTGCCGAACAAGTTGGAAGCCGCACAGCAAGGGAGAGATCTCTTGCCGATGAAAAGGCAGTGACAGAGCAGTGCTGAAATGCTTGGTGCCTCTTTGGAGGATGTTTCTGTTCAGTGCGTAGAGGAGATGGGCTGCTGCGAAGCAATGGCAGGTGGGGGCAGGAGTCTAAAAGAGCTGGCGGCAGGAGGAGGAGAGGACTGGTGCCCATCTTTGGTGTGTATGGAGGGAGATGGGTGGGAAGGAGGCAACTGTACGTGGTCTCTTCTCTCCCCTTTGCTGTGGTGCTAGCAATCCGGGTTCACCCCATGCACACAGAGAGGCGGGGGTAGGATGCAGGTGCTTTTTTCCCTTAACTCCCACTGCTCCCAGTCTTCAAATCCACCCTAGTTTCCAGCGTTTTAGTTCTTTCCCCGGTGAAAGAGGGGGCACCGCAAAGGCCTGTGGCAGTGCTACGCTCTGCAGGTGCTGCGGGACCTCCCTCACCCTCTGCCGTTGTCTCCTTTCACAGCTTTTCGAGGATCATGCACCAAACAGTCAAAGACCTGGCACCCAACTGCGACGTGACCTTCCTGCTGTCAGAGGACGGCAGCGGGAAAGGGGCAGCGCTCATCACAGCGGTGGGATGCAGGCTTCGTGATGCCGAGCAGAACTGAACTCCACAATCCTAGCCCCGATTCTGTCTTGTGAGCACTTTCTCATAAAGCAGCGACTGCATAGTCAGAACTGGTAAAAACCCAGAACTCACTGCTTTATCGGGGAAAAAAAACAAAACAACTAATGACATAAAAATTAGGATACAAGATAGAATGTGTGCTGTTAATAATATCTCCTGTTTCTGGACCCCAATCTGCATGTTTCTTATTCACCTTGTTGGTACCTTCCCCATCTGTAGGTCATGGAAAAATCAGTCTATAATTTCTGCAGCTGTCAAAAATCAGTTGTTGTCTGAGATGAAATTGCCCCCAAGTGATGTGCGTTGAGAGCTACCGTTGCATCGTACCAAATGTGTTCTTTGCAGCATCCTGTTAAGCGCACTGCCAGCACGCTGACCACCAGACCTGGGTGTTGATGCTTTTAGTGAAGGAGAAGCAACAGTTCCCTCCTGCATATCTACCTGCTGTTGTTTCGTCTAAAGCGATTGTGAAAACATTATGGTGTGTCAGCACTGTGCACGCACGTAACTCTATAGTGGGACTTGACAATGCGACTTACTTGCTTCCTTGATGCCTGTTTTGTCATGGTAAAAGTAAACGCCCTTGTCCCACAGACCTGGTTCCACTGGTATTTCCCATTGCTTCTGTGAATAGTGTTGTGTTACTGGGCGAAATCTGTCACGTTTCAGCAAGAAATCCCTAAAGAGTAAAACAAAGTGGTTGGTGATTGGGGTAATCCAAATCTCCAGACCCAGGCAATCAGTAGATTTATGGTCCCTCCATGGGCTGTGCATCGGTAGATTTATAGTCCCTACACGGGCTGTGCTGTATTCTTCTGTTTAAGAGTTCTTATAAAAAGTATTTTCTATCTCTTCTTGTTAGTCTAGATCAGAGCACTGCAGCTGCCCTTCTACTGAATCTGCAGCTGGACAGTGTCACTCGGATGTGTATACTTCCGTCTTTCGCCTTAAATGGGTATTTGCTTCCATACAAAGCTTTAATCTTTAATACTCAGCCACTCAAAACACAAACACTCAGCTAGAGTTAGTGATCAGAAAGGAATACGAGGGTTTGATTTTGATCTTGCCTTTGAGGACCTGGGTGCGTGAACTAAACAAACCACAAAGCCAAAATCGGACCCAGCTTATTCCAAGGACTAAAGCAACAACGAAGATCATATACACTTGGTGTATCCTGTTCTCTGTCGAGTCGATGCCATTATTATATTTGCATACCAGTTGCATTACTTAAATTGAGAAGCAGTTAGGAAGGCAAACGCTGAATAACATTTGCAAGTCACACCACTTTCTGCAAAGAGGGAGACCACACAGTAGTCCTTAATTCCCGCTCTTCTACCAAAAATGAATTTGAGATGTCTGCATGGTTTTCCCTGCTGCCTTTTCCTGCAGAAAGTAGATGGAAATTTGCCGGCTACTCCTCTTTGTCCTCGTTCCACTCCCCTAAGATTTGGATTGCCCTACCTATCGATAACATTTCAATATGCATTATGGTGCACTGTGAGTGAATGTTGTAAAGTAACATGTGAGTCACAAACAGTCATTGCAGCTTTAAGTGTGTGTCTACCTGAAAAATTGCATGCCTAACTGGTTTTGCAAAGGTAGAGAGTCTTTTTACTTTGCACACTAGTAGCTCTGATACTAGTGTTACGTGATACTTGTGAAAATATTAAACTTTTTTGATGTGCGTTAACTGGTGTTTAGTGGTTCTTTCTGGAAGAGGTGCTGTTGGCTGGTGGCTTAGTGCTTTGGGAAGAGCTATTGTGTAGGGAGAGCTGCAACCTAATCCCAGTGGTGCCTGCGTTTTGTGTGTGTGTTTTTATTCCCGGGCATTCGGGGTCAGATTCAAACAGGGTGGATTTCACCCAGGTCCCCATGCCTCGTGTTTCCTAATGTAGTTCAGCAGAGGCACAGAGCTGACAACGCCCAAATCTTAGGGGCCATGTAGCTTGTCCGGGTGCATCTGCAGTGCAGGAAAACCTCAGCCCACTGCACCAAAGCCAATGTGATTATATTAGGCTTTGCCAGATACGCAGTGACGGATACATTACAGTCGCTTTGTCCCCACAGAAGTCTGATGCACGTCAGAGTCCGTAAGCTCCTTGTGTGCAATAGGGTTAACGTTTGCAGAATCACAGTGTCAGGTGCCCGTACACCTGGTTTGCAGGTCCTGTGTTGGAGTTGTATACGAAAGCCCCTTTTGCATACGCTAAAGTTGTCCTTCTCCCACAACCCATTTTACGTTACAGCCTGAATAGTCTCTGACACCCTTGATGTGCAGCTATGACCCCAAATGGGAGACAGAAGAAGGTGAGAAACTTTTTGGGCACAGGGGACACATTGCATTTTAATTGCTTGAAGATTTGCAAGTCTTATGCCTGCCACGGGCAGTGCTGTAGGGGTGGTGTGAGCTGTGCCTGGGGACCTGGGTTTGGAGCTCTTCAGCATCTGAGGGCTAGGCTCAGTGCAGGATAGAGGATGAATGAGAAGTGGAAGTTAAACTTGGTCTCAGGGTGACTGTGAGTTTTGGAGATGCTGGCATAGGTCGCTTTGTTTATTGGATCCAGCTCATAACAAATAGGGAGTGAGTTTGTGTTTCTAACAGCGCAACTTTTCCTACTGTGGACCATAGGTGATGTACTTGATATGACACGGCAGTTCTTTTCCAAAGGGAGACCTGGTGGGATTTCCATTTCCAGACTACTTCTTACCCCTAGGAAACTGTTCCAAGTGAATCACAAGCTATAACTGTCGGAAGAAATGTCTCCAATGTTATCCAAGCAATGACTGAGATGTCTTACTTAAAGCTTTTAGGCTTGGTGAATAAAATCATAGTCCTCTTAATTGTTAAGCTGTAATTACTGCAATATGAACACAAAAATCTTATATTTCCTGGGGAAAAGACCATTTGCATACCACTGTTGTAATGTCATCCGCTCCTTACTCCTCTGGGGGTTCTCTCAGAAGCCTTTTGAATGGGTTTTAAAACAAGCAGACTTTGTTTTGTTTTGTTTTCTTAAGAAAATAGCAGAAGGCAAAATAAAGTGTTTCTGAACTTCTGAACCCCGTTCTGTGCTTTTTGTTCGTTCTTTTGCCATAAAAATGAGATGCTTCAAATGTTTTTCTTAACTGACTGCAGGGACTGCGTTGCTGCTTAGAGCACAAATAACTGTGCGGAGGAGGGATTTAATGCTGACCCGGAGATGTTTTACTGCTGCGTGGTATTTAATCATGTCTATATTTATATGAGGAATTGCATGTATTTACCATGGAGCATGGTGTTCCTGTTACCTCATATATCACAGGAAATCATGTAGTCTGCCTTGGCATGCCTTTTCTTCCACTATCTAACAAGGGCTCAGAGCTTCTCCGCTTCCTTAACTGTTGCTGTTTCTAGCGGAGAAACTTCTCAGGATCTGCAGTGTGAGTCCTTCAGGGCACGGGGAGTTTTGCTTGCACCCTGAAGAAATCATCCTCTGCTTTCTGCACCCAGACGAGGGAGAGATGCCTTGAGCTGTCAGAAAATGTCGGTGCCTGTCAGGGACTGCACAGGGGAGATGCTGCCAGCATGTGCGTGACTCTTGGGCACCTGAAATAGGCTCTGACTGGCTGTTAAGATGTGATGGAAGATGGGATGCTCAAGACAGGCCTGTTTGGTCTAAAAAGATCCGCGTTAGAAAGCTGCAGGATTTAAAGGGTTTAAAGCCCTTACAATCACATCGGCTGGGCATGGGAGAGGTACAGCTTATGTATATGAAATAGTGAACTCTGTGTGTAGGTGTCCTTCAGTTCCTCGGAGCAAGAGTCTGCACCCTCTAGTCTGATCCCAGAGATGTTTGCCTTGCAGAGCGTCCCTCCCAAATTGTTTCAAATCCCTTCAGAAGAAAGACTTGGTGGTGGTTGTCTGTAACTAAATGCCTCTTACTGCTCTCCCCCTGTCCTGCGCGCACCCCAGCAGTGCGGTCTGGAGAACAGCAGGCTGGCCAGTTAAGAGGGCTGGATGGATAACATCTAGGCGAGAAACTACCTGCTGGAATGATTCAAAAGGATGAACTTTTTAAGAAGGGCATATAGCCCTGTGCTCTGTTGTCCCATTAGCGAGACAAGTTTGTTGGGCCTCTGTGTAACATAATTGTTCTCCACAGCAGCCAGAAAGGTGAAGAAGATTAAGTGGAGAAGGAATATATATCTGCTGGTTCCTGTATTGAAACAGACTTGGGAAAATCACGTCCCTGAGCGCTCTTTCAGTTCAAGCCACGAGTCTTTTCTCTGAATTTACTGCAGAACTTAGGTCTGGCAACACTTTGTAGTTTTGCTTTCACAGAGAAAAGGGGAATATTTTGAATAACTGGGTTTGTTGACAGTGTAGGAGCTTTTCGTATGCTAAGGTATGGCTCTGTGATATTATAGACAAACCTGTCACGAAAGGTGATTGTGAGGTGCTACTTACCACACCAGTATTAAATGCTGTATTACTTTTATACAATGTCTATATTTCAGCTTCTCCTGTTTTGCATGCCTGCACATAATGCCTCAGGCTTTGAAGATGACATAATTCAGCCTTTATTTTCATATCTGAGAAGAGAAGAACAGTGGCGATAAATATGGGGTAAGTCTGGAAAGGGAAGATGAAGGGACTATTTCGGAAAAGACAGCAATGGGTCAGACTGTGGTTAAGACCAAGAGGAGGTAAAGGAGGTGGATTCAGATTGGATCCATGAGCCCTGACCAAGCCAGTGAGCATCTCACACCTGGCTACTGACTTTTCAGAGAGCCTCGCTCTCCAAATTAGGCACCACAATTAACTACGTGAAGTTGGAGGAATCGCTTGGGTGCAGTTTAATAGGAAAATGACATTGTATTTTGGTACAAGGTTATAGAAATCCATGCAATGATGCCATCTTAAGGAACTGTTTCTCGCTTTCAGCTGATGAGAGATGGTACTGGTGAAATTGCAGGCGTGAAAATCCCAGAACTCAGAAAATTTGCAGGGCGGGCTTTTCAGTCTGGATGTGTTAGTATTCGCCTTTGTTCTAAACAAGCTTTGCTTCACAGTCTTGTCCGCCTTGGGGCTGCTGAGCCATGGGACTTTGCTGCCCACACAGCCCCGAGGGTCCATCCAGACCAGGCCAGATGTGCCCCTCCATTTCTGCTCCATCACCTCTTTTCCAGATTTAAGTGTCTTGGTGGAACAGAAAGGAGATCGCTATCTGGAAGAGAATAATTGATATTCTACTGATTGGCACTGCCTCAGGTATACTTCGCTGCTTTTTTGACCTTATGGACAAAATCTTTCTGTTCTGTAATTGCAGTTGTTGGTGTAAGGGAGGGCTGAACTTGCATCCATAGCTGGGTGATATTTGGACCTACGTGGATATTAGTATTATCAGCAGACTGCTTTCAAAGCTGATGGCATCTGAAACAGTCCCGTAGGAAACAGTTGCTCCAGAAGAAAAGAGCTGCCTTGGGCTTCTACAAATCTGCTGCCTTGAAATGGTGTATTAGGATAGAGCCAGAACCGGGAGGAGAAAATCAAAGCGTTAGCTGGGTGAGGATAAATGATGTCTTCTCTTTCTCATTCAGTTGAGTTTCTGTGTTGAAACTTGTTCTCGACTTCCTACGGGTTGTCTGGTAGAGAGATGGGGTTGTAAGTTTAAGTTTGTCTTTCTCAGTTGCTTTTATGCACGGACACCACCGGAAGGCTAATTTGAAGCCAGAACGAAACCTGTAAATGTAAGAAAAGAGATTAAATGGTGAAATGATCTTTTTAATTGCACAGAGAAAGAACAAATGCATGACTTGGTTCTACCTCTGAATGACCGTGGCAATAAAAAATTTCTGTGGCAATCAAAGGAGTGAGGTGAAGAGCTAAATGTATAAAACCACGGAGGGAAGAGCAATAGGAGTTTATGATTAGATATCCTTATTATTTTAAGTAAATATATTAAGATCAGTGAAACGGCAGGATGTTTGATGCGCTCAGTAGATGGTGTCAACCATGCTAATAACAGCATTTGTGAGGAGGGCATCTGAGGAAAATACAGATGTTTACCCCCTGGAAGCTTTTTAAAAAACCATGAGTAATTAAATGAGGAAGCTGTCTCCTTTCTGAGAGAGGAGGATGCTTTTGGGTGTTTCACATTAAATGTAGATTGGCTGAATGGGCTGCAAAACTGCCTTCTTTTGCGAGCTTACGGGCTGTTTGAAACGCTCTCCAGGCGTGAGCCTCCTAGCATCGCTCTGGAGTTAGGCGTTTTGCTGGTGGAATCCCAGTGAAACGGCACTGGAGGTGCTGGAGGAGGTAAACCATTTATTACTCCTAAAGCTCCCTGTGCACGCAGCTGGGCTGAAGAGGGATGCGGGTTAGGGAGAGGTCTGGCGGTGGGATGCGAAGGCAGGATTTGGCACGGAGATCTGCAGGGCGGCCAGAGCAGCGTCCCACGTTCAGCGTTCGGCTGCACCAGCGTCCCGAGAGTAGCCCGTTCTCAGCGCAGAGCAAGAGAGACATCTCTTGGCACGATGGGGTTGCGCTCTCCCAGCCGCTCACTCGTGGCAGCGTGCCTAGATGGGACTCTGGGCAGGTCACCCGTGGGCTAATCCTGCTCCCCACGGGGGGGTGAGCCCGGTGCCTGCGTGGGGCTGGGTGGCCTGGGAGGAGCGGGTGACCGAGCCAGCCCAGCATTAGGTCAGCAG